CCACGACCTCGTCTGGTATTTGATAGCAGTGAAACGTCCCTGATCCCAAAATGTCTGCATCTATCGGTGACGAGTTATGCCAATGTTTAAAGCGTTCCCCAAAATTATACCTGATACGTATTCATTGTCTTGATGAAGATGAACAACACATAGTATGGGGTAGCGCAAAGAATCAGAGGAACTTACTGTTGTTACTCCGTTTTCCAACTAGCCGAGTGTAGGTATTGTATTACTGTGTGGCGCTGTTTTCAGTATGGACCCCATAAAACGATTAAGGCATTACCAAATTACGCAAATAACGCGTCACGATGCAGGTCCGTTTGACTAGCACCAGGTGACGTCTGTATAGTTAATCTTTTCCTTGAGCACTCTTCAGCCGTCTTTCATTGAACAATGCATGTCTTAAGATAGCCACGACACTAATACCACTTTAACAGTGCTCTTTAAAATCCTGCCTAGTAGGTAAGAGAAGGGTGGCGTTGCCAAATGCTTAAAAGCATTGTCTAGAAATCGTCCATCTCTCCATCATCTCGCCTCCTTTCCACAAGTTAGTGTGATGATGGCACAATGGTAATGACGGACCCCACCTTTCAGACCGTGGATTTCTATCTGCGGTCATACCCAACCATGCACATCCTCGACGCCGTAAGTAGTTGGTGGGTGGATCAAGACTCTTTCTCCCCTCTCATTCCTCCACCAACATCCAAGTCTCAGTTACAGCTGACGGAAATGGAAACAGATCGATGCGAGTCCTAGAGAAAACTGTAGGTGTAAGGACCCACGTAGACCCACATCGGCGTCACTCTTAAGGCGTCCAGATTTATCAGATTTGAACCTAACTTAAATAGAATTATAAAATAAAGTAGATGAGAGCCTCGACTCCAGACAAGTGCCCATCCATTATGGTGGTAATTGGGTGGACTTCAGTACTTCCAGTTTGGTTTAACTACGATGTTGTCAGAGAGACTGGATGCAATGAAACACTTACGTCTTTGAGGCTATTCAAATGTTGATCCTCTACTCTGTCGCTATCTGTGCGTTAGCCAACTTTCTTTGATATCTTTGTGCCAAAATCGAACTCCTACGAGCATTAGCCCCATGCGAATAGTGTGCCAGCTGACACCTCACGCACCAGCCCAACCCAATGCCCAAGGACGCAAGACACACGAACAGATAAGAACCTATAAACCCCTGCACACATACAATATCCCAACAGATGACACGCACACACACGCTGCACCCCCTAAGGCCATCAACTCCGATATGTATCACGGCAAGAAATCGGCAATCATCTGTGCAGGACATATCCACCGCCATTTTACAGTCCAATTTCTCCATCTCGTTAAAAAGGTGTTGTTGTACGGGAACAGACTGGCAAAGTGCTTAATAGTAAAAGCATCTGTACAGCAATGGAGAGCAGTCAATGGTACTGGAAGCGAGCGTTCGTTTACCTTCTGCGTAATCGTTCATGGAAACTACAATGACAATAGTGGTGTCTTCATACCGCGTAAAGCGAAGTCGTTAGTAGGATTTGGGTTCGCGGGTTATCGTTATTTTTTTTGTTCCTTCTCAGTATCACCTAGTAAACCAGGTTCACTGCAGGGTTGAGTTGGTTGAAAATTTACTGACAGTGTTAGTGTAGAGTTGTACAAAGTGATGCCCTGACGCGCGTTGGCGAGGATAATCTTTCCTGCTGTGATGTCAGCAGGGGTCATGGCTGACATGCAATCCGTCAAACACCGTACGTGGCCAACCATCAATGAGAACAGTCTTGCACCTTCATCATGTAATAAGTTGCTTCTCCTTCTTCGCAACTCGTGAATATGCCTGCTCTCGGATATTAGCATGAAATAACGAATGGATCCTCAGTAGTTGCAGTACGATCTTTTTGGTGGCAATTGCACAGTAGAGGAAGCTCTCGTCTCTCTTAATGCCTATACCTTCATTGGCAGCATCGAGCACGATGCACAACTAGGATGCGGCGGCATGACATTTTGCGAAGCGTTGCACTCACAGGCACAACCTCGTGGGGATACTTGCGCATGGAATTTGGCTGAAGAAGGCACTAGTCTCTTCTTCCACAGACCCACTTCACCGAACAATGCTGACATTACACACAATCGAGCTGCATCTGGACAGAACATCATAGTTCCATTTGTCTAGCCAAACCGACTAAAATGCAATGCTACATCTGTTCCTTAGCATCAATTCACACTACACTAATGCCAAGGCATAGAGATTTACACATCACACATACCTTTAATCATTCCTGAGGCAGATGAAATGAGGTAAAAATCAAAGTCATGTCTGCTCAGGAGAGGCTAATGGGTAGGATTACTTTCAATACTATTTAAGGTATTAGCATCGGCGGCATTAGTTGACGATGACAGACGCAAGTGTGTCCCACTTATTTCAACATCACTGGTAGAACGGTAGG